ATCATTACTATCTAATATCAGCAAAATTCTTGAAAAATTAATGTATTCTTGTATCTACTACTTTCTTGATAATTCTAAGTGCTTATATGGCCGCCAGTTTGGTTTTCGTTTAAAACACTCTACTTCCCATGCTCTTATTAGCATTACTGAAATGATTCGTGGTACAATCGATAGTGGTTCATTTGCTTGTGGCGTCTTTATTGATTTCCAAAAAGCTTTTGACACGGTCGACCACAAGATTTTAATTAAAAAGTTATACTACTATGGCATACGGGGTATCGCTAATAATTGATTTTCATCATATATTGAAAATCATAGCCAGTTTGTCTCCATTAATGGGTTTGAATCCTCCAAAAAATTTATCAAATATGGTGTCCCCCAAGGTTCTGTTCTTGGGCCTTTGCTGTTTTTAATATATATAAATGGCTTGTCTCACTCTATAAGCTATTCCACTGTTCACAATTTTGCTGATGATACCAATCATCTATGCATAAATTAATCACTTACTCAGCTTTGTAAAAAAGTTAATTCAGATCTCCATCATTTGTGTCTTATTGGTTAAAAAATTAAATTGTCTCATTGGTTAAATAGTAATCGTATCTCTCTAAATATCAACAAAACTGAATTAACCCTCCAAAAAAAATAATTAGTAATGATAATGTTAAAATTAAAATTAACGGTAAAAGAATCTTTCCTTCTGAATTATTAAAATATCTCAGAGTATTTCTTAACAAAAACCTATCTTGGAATTATCAAATGATTCAATTAAATAAAAAACTCTCTCGAGCCAATAGTATGTTATCTTTAATACAACACTATGTTCCTAAACATACTCTAGTATCAATTTACTATTCCATGTTCTCATCCCATCTAAGCTATTGTTGCGTTGTTTGGGGACAACAAGGAAGTTTTCTATTAAATCGTATAAACAGTTTGCAACGTGCTTCCATAAGAATTATGACATTTTCTCCTATTCAATTTAATATCCAAAAAAGGTTTTCTGAATTAAAAATCTTACAATTTCAAGATCTTATAAAACTTTACAACTGTCTTTTTGTGTTTGATTTCCTCCAAAATAATCTGCCGGGTTCGTTTAACAATTTTTTCATAAAAGCAAGTGATACACATAAATATTATACTCGCATTACTATAAATGGTAATTTGCACCCTTCTTTTTTCAATACTGTCAAGTATGACAAGCTCTCCATAAAACATCAATGTATTTTTCACTGGAACCAATTAATACTTTTATAAAAAAAAAAGATTTTAACTAAATACCCTTTTGTTACTAACTTTCTTCTTCTCAATAGAAACCTAATTAAGACATTTTTATGTGAGCAAATGTCTAAAGAATATTAATTCTATCTTCTTTTATTATTATTCCTTCAATATATTATTTAATTAATTACAATTTTTTTATTTTTTTTTTATTTTATTTTTGTTATTATTCTTTACATTGTTACTACTACTATTTTTATTATTGTTATTATTATTATTATTTATGTATCTTTGTTTTTGTTGCTTTGTTTTTGTTGTTTGTGTTATTACCTATAATGATAATCAAAGTAGTTCAGTAGTTGCAGTAGCTTTATGATTATTGTTATAACTATTCTTTAAATTGTTTATTTTATAATTATTAACTATACTATAATTATCTTACTATTGCGTTATCATTTATAATTCTTTTTATGTTGTTATATTGCAGTTATTTTTTTTAATATTATTTTTATTGTTACTATTATTATTTTTATAAATATTATTACTTTTAACTTTCTTTTCCTCTTTTTTTTTTTTTTTTAATCTTCTTTATTGTTATTGTTGCTTATCTTTCTTTCTTTTTTTCTTTTTTCTTTTTTTTTTAGGTGTCACTCCATTGACTAGTTTTTAAATATATGAGTGACACCTAACCTTATTTATGTAAATTTATAATTTATCATTGTAAATTTTCATTATTTATGGTTAAATAAATGAAGAGAAAAAAAAAAGTATTAAACGTATAATATAAAAAAGTATAACATAAAAAAAGTATTAATTAGAGCAAATAAAACACAAAAAAAATGAGACAAAATTTAGCTAAATATTACATCTTAATAATAATCATATAAAGTACTGGTTAAAATTATAGCACAAATGTATAAAAAAAATTGAATGATAAAAATTTAATGGAGGGTTGAATGAAAAGTTTCAATTATTTTTTTATCTGAAGAATAACATTTTACTTTTTACAAAAATGAATGAAAATTGAAAATACATTTAAAGTTAACATGTTTTAAAGTTCACTTTGAACAGAAAAATAAGTCAAATTTATAGCACATAATAATTTTTAGATTGAAAAAAACATTACAATTTAATGTAATATGAAGAAATGTTGGATATAATATATAAAAAATGTTGAATATAATATATAAGAAATGTTGGATATAATATATAAGAAATGTTGGATATAATATATAAGAAATGTTGGATATGATATATAAGAAATATTGGATAATTTTATTTTCCGTTGTACAATATTATAATTTATTGTAGTTAACATTTTAGGATAAAAAAAAAACAAGGTTTTTTTTTTTTTTCCTCATTTATTTATAAATGAGAAAAAAAATATTTTTTGTAGCAACCGATTCTAGGCATCTAAAATAAAAAAGATAAGCAGGTAAAAATAAAAATCAGCTTCATTTTTCAGATATATATATATATATATATATATATATATATATATATATATATATATATATATATATATATATATATATACAGGCCTTGTGATGAATAGAAACTGCGCGACGCATAAGCATGACGTGACTTTTGACGTCATTAAATTCTTTTTATTTGCTTTTCATATTTATCGACATTAACTGCATTAATTTACTTAATTACCGCAAAACTACTTTAAATCATTAATGTAGAAATGTTATTATTTAAAAATGTTTTGGAATGTTTCGTTTTTGAAAATGTAAAAACATTGGTTTATTTTCTCGACGCTTGACGCGTTTTGTCTACTAAACGAATAAAAAACATAACTAAACATTTAAAAAAGATTATAAAATATGCTAATATTTGATTTTCTCAAATATGTAATTTAAAGTTTTTTAAATAGTTTTTTTTTCTTTTTAAAAAGTCAGCGATTAATAAACTGGAAATTTTAATATTGTACGATTTAAAACTATGCAATAGCTAATATTTTTACTAGCGATTTTATATAATATTTTTTTATTTATTTTTTTTTATTAATTTTCATAAAATGGTTGATAAGCACAATCACTCGTATTACTAAAAAACTTTAACAAGCGTTTTGAATAGATTTTTAATGTTTACAAGGAATTTTTTTTTTGGTAAAAAAAAATAAAATGTTATAATAAAATTCTTATAGGTATAAAAGACATATTTCAGTGAAAAAATTATTCTTAAAAATTATTATTAAAAATTATTCGAAAAACTATTGACGTTCTATTGTTCAGCAGCTGTTCTTGAGCACACTTCGTTGAGTTTCAGTAACTTTTAACAGAAAAGCCATTTAAGTAATTTTTTTTATTTAAGTAATTTTTTTTGAGTTACTTTTTACAAAAATTTTAATAGCTGTACTTTTTTATTGAATCAAGTAGAATGTTTTAATATTAATCCTTTTATTTTTTTTTTAATTTGCGCTTACCAATTTTTAAAATGTTTCCTTGAAATTACTCTTAAATACTTTAAAAGTAAATTCGTCTAACAGTTAATAAATATTTTTAAATCTATGGAATAATTTTAAAACCTAACAAACCCCCGTAAAATAACTATTTAAGTAAAAAATCTAAAACTAAAAGAAAGTATTTTTGTTCAATTTTATCTACAACTTTGCTATTGCTGAATAATTTTATTAAAATGTTAGCTTAAAAAAATTTAAACTTTTTTTTTAATCTGAATTTTTTCTACTTGTAAATAATGAGCATATTTAATTTTTTTGTAATTCAAACTTTTATATCAACTGCGTGCGATTTTTAAAATACCTGAATAAATGTTAAAATAATCGTAATCAATTAAAGTCTCATCCTAAATGTCTTGAGTAGAATCCTTTAGGTCATTTGTGTTGCTTATGTTGTAAAACTTCAATAAACCTTTTCCATTTGCATAAAAACATCCCCATACACAAATAGTTTCAACACCACCTTGTGCTCTTGTTGCAAAATTAAATAGTAAATCTTTTTCATAAGGAAGATGACATACAAACTTACGATTCTTTCTATTTATGCCTTCAAAAAATGATTCTTTGTTAAATACCACATGATGCCATTGATTTCAAGTTCGATCAACATAGGTTTTATACCAAGGGAGTCTTTTCTTTTTCTGGGCCTTATTTTAATAGCAATGTTGTTTCTGTGTGTAACTTTTCAACCCTTTTTCTAACAAACGGCAACAGACTGTTCTTGCACTAATGGTTTTTTTTGAAGCGTTCCACCCCATCACAATTTTTTTTTTTTTTTTTGCACCTACAGCATCCTTGTCCTGGTCGATTTTTCGTTGGTAAACTCAAAATAATTTTATCAGCAATATTATTGACAAAATATCTGGAAATTTTAGCACGTTTAGCAATATCAGCAATATTAAATTGCTGTTGAATTAAGTTTTTTTTACAAATTGTTGCCACTCAGAGCTTACTGCTTTGCGACCCATTGCATATATTTTGTTTTACTTTTAAAATTACTGAAAAAACTTTGAAAAATTAAAATATTTCCTAATTAAATAAATAACTATGATGTTCGTAGATAAATAAAATATCATACACAATGCATCAAAGCATTTAATCATTAACACTGTCAAAATTACGTATAAATGTAAGTGTGCTTTAAATTTTACCAACATTTACATACAAAAGTTTTACATGACAATCTTAATTTAATAGGTTGGGTTATAATTTTGACCAGTACTTTATATATTACTAATTCAATGTTATATTAAATATTTGTTACTGATGTATATCATGATAGTTTTACCAATAAATATACTTTTGTAATATTTTATAGAAATAGAATGTGAAAATATATACAAAAGCGATTCTTTGGTGCAGTATACACCGATGAAAACAAATTACCATATAGGGTCTGTAGTACAATTTACTTGTTCTAATACTTTTTTACTGGGTTCTGCTACATCAACATGTCAGATTGATGGAGACTGGTCTGTACCTTGGCCTACATGTAAATGTAGGTATTTATTCCGAATTTTTCACACAAAAATTTTCATTCAGTGATTATAATGCTTTATTTTCAAATTGTTTTATATATAAAAAACTTTTTTTTTTTTAAATCATATTAGTTTTATATGCATACATGAAAAAACAAATCATATTAGTTTTAAACACATACATACATTACAAAAAAACAAAAAATTTTTGAAAAATATATGCTGCCATCCCTTAATGAGTGACCGGGGCCCCGGCTAAAAATGACACTTTTTTTAAACCCGGCCCCGGCTAAACTATAAGATATAGCAGGGGTTGATAGTCGGGGCTAGAAAAAAATTTTTAATACTTTTTATATTATAATTTTATGTTTACATTTAATATTATTAAATATGTATATTTATAAGGTCTATATTTGTAAGTATTTAGGTGTATATTTGTAAGGTGTATATATTCAATACTGGTATATATTTATATATTTTTAAAATTTAAAGCAACCACTTTTAAGTTATGATTTATTTTATAATAAGTAAAGACACTAATGGTTAACTGAAGACTTGAAAAGTTGTTGGTTGAAAATAAAAGAAAAACATAAAGATGGTTGACAGTTTTAAGGTTTTTTCGATGTGCAAGGAAAAAAACTGGATTAATTAAAGTTTTTATAGCATGAGGGGGCAGGTACATTAAAAACAACTTTTGAATAAGAAACAAGCAAGAATGAGTTTTGGTTTATCGTAATAGAGATGTTTGAGCATTGACTATGAGAAAAAGAAAGAAATGCAACCTTACAACAATGAGAGAGTGGCTCAAGCTTGGCAGATAAAGCATGTCTAAATTATTATTATTATTGTTTTTTTATGTTAATTCACCTCCCCAAGGCTGAAAGTGCCACTATAGACAAGGAGACTACTTAATTGTGGTTATAACCCAACTAGATAACTCAAAAACACGAACCTTGACAAGGCCGCTGCGCAGAGAAACAAGTGCTTTTATACTTTGTCTGAGAGTAAGATGGTTGTTATTCATCAATATAAGAATGCCAACATTATTGCAATATTTTTTTGCAGCATATAAATGAGTTTTGTTTTCTAACCAAAACTCCAGATTTACATCCGTAAAACAACATGTTAAGAAAGGAAACAAATACTATACAAAGTTGAAAATCTAAATTAATTAAACTAAAAAAAAAAATTTAAAATAAAAAAAAGTAAAATTTTGTGAAAAAGCTAATAGACCTTAATATTTTACTGTTTTCTTTTTTTATTGGTGTTTGTTATTTTCCTTTACCAAAATTTTTAAATTTGTTTTTCAAATGTTTTAAACTTTAATATTTTTAAAACATTAAAGTAAAAGCATTAGAAAATTTTTTCATGTTTCTAGCGCAAATTTTTTTTTTTTTTTGTATCTTATCTGCTTTTTTTCTTGACTTGTATCAATTTTGGTAGAGGAAAATAACAAATCCACAAAAATTTTGGTAGAGGAAAATAACAAATCCACAAAAATTTTGGTAGAGGAAAATAACAAATTCACAAGAATTTTGGTAGAGGAAAATAACAAATCCACAAGAATTTTGGTAGAGGAAAATAACAAATCCACAAGAATTGTTATTTTTATTATGTGCCTGTATGCTGGGGGCTTCAGTACATACATCGACTGACAAATAGCCTGACTCGCAGTGGAGTGCTGCTACATCGACTGAGGGTTTGGGATATTATTTTACTTAATATTTTTTTATTGAATAAAAGAAGGCAAAAAAAAATAGTTGCTATTAATTAAATTTTTTTTTTAAAAAAAAAGTTTTTTTATATAAAAAAATAAAAAGGCAATAATACTAATATTTAATTATAGAATATTTGATTGTTTTCACTACCCCCATTGAAACAGTCAGCACTTTTATTGAACTATCTAAATTGTGCATTTAACCCAATAGTTTATTTCCTGATGAACTATTGTTATTGACGATGCTCTAGATGGAGTTTAGGTGATTTATAAGTTATTTAAATTTTTTTATTTGGAAGATTTTGTTAGCTATGTCCGTTTATGTTAGCTATGTCCGTTTATGTTAGCTATGTCCGTTTATGTTAGCTATGTCCGTTTATGTTAGCTATGTCCGTTTATGTTAGCTATGTCCGTTTATGTTAGCTATGTCCGTTTAAAAGCTTTTGATCTCTATATAAGAGCTTTAGATGCTTTTATTCAAGTTTTTATGTTTTCTCTTTTTTATATGTTTTTCATAAACTTTTTTATTACCCCTAAGACACCATTTTTGAGTCTTTAGATCAATTCTGCTCAACAGCCTTAACTTCATTTTAGTTTTTTTTGTACCAAACACTTAGAAATAA